AATGCTTTCCTTAGTGGACAAGGTGGAAAACATGCTAATGTTATTAAACCGCGTTCAAAGGTAAAATTCGTGCATCTTTAATGAGTGCCACTAACCACAAAATAGTTTGAGCAATCATTTATTATCTGTTTAGCGCACCATTTCCGTACATTAAGATAAAATGCCTGAAGTAAGGAAAAATATGGTAAAACGCACTTTTTACATTGTTCACGGAAGAATCTTGCAGCAAGTCAATGATACTGAAGCTGCAAGACTTCATTTTAACTCAAGTGTCTTTTAAAAGTTAAAGATGGCTTCAGCAAATAATATTTTTCAGTTGGGTTGTGCGATAGACTTACCACCCCGTGGGGGACCCTGGGCAACGTATTCTCGTCCGGCATAAAGGTCTATTAACCGGCAGTTGACTTCTGATTTCAAACTACCACCATCCCACTGTATGTTAAATTCGACTTCTTCCACAGTCTCACCTCACCTTTTTTCAACCTTTGTGTCTGTCTCTTTTACATCCTTGAAACTCTTATGTTCCCCNTTCCCCCCCCCCCCCCCCCCTCGATTTTTTTTCACTTATAAGATCCTCCTCCTCTCCGTGAAGCCTGAAGTCAACTAAAGTGGTAATGATAACTATTTAAACGCCTGTCATTTGATATAAATAAATATTTTGTGCACGAATTGGTAAAATGAGAAAAAATGTGTCAAGACTAGGCATTTTCATTTTATTTTTACAATGCAAATTTATAAAATCCATATTATGCTACGTGCCTTGTAGGAAGCAAGACCGGTAGTGAGCGCAAATACCTCTGAGGCAGTACTCAACCAGTAGTCCTTGTATTGCGTAACCAATCTTCATGATATTTTGATAACCAAGCTCCGTGACGCACACATCCCAAATGAACGAGTTCCATGCCATACATCTGTTTCCTCTATATTGTTGAAGGGATCTTGTCATAGAGGTTACTGAGAATAACTTCGGGCTTGTTGGTGTAGTAATTCGCTATAGTTTCCAATGTAAATGAAGTGCATAGTCGTCATGACGATGAATTCGGGAGAAATGGTCTACTTTATATCGAATTTATTTTTCCCTCCAAGGGTAATTTATTGGCTATTGCTCATTTATATGCTCGGTCCACTTATTCATAAATTAATATATTTCCCGACTTTATACTTATGTAGCATATTGAAGAGAGCTAAATTCTCGCTTTTCATCACGTGTGGGGGTTGGTGGGGATTCCAGAGTCAAATAATATATCTGCGAATTGTTTAAGAGCCAATGTTCATTAATTTAACCCCAATTGATAATTGGCTCAGGGGCGTGCGATAGATTTGGTTCCACGTGGTGCACCCAAGGCAAATTTTGTTCATATAGCAAAAAAGTTAATAAACCGGCAGTTGACTTCTCACTTCAAAACACCATGACCCCACTGTATGTCATGTTCCTCTACTTACTCAGTACTCATCTTTCCTTTTCTCAGCCTTTGTGTCTGTCTGTCTCATTAATATCTGTGAATCATTATTCTGTTCCTTCTCTTGACTTTTTCTCACTTTGATGTTCTTCCCCTCTTTGAAGCCCGAAGTCAGCTAAAAGGGCTAATTATAACCAACAAAAAATGCCTGCCATTCGATATAAATAAACAACTGATTCAAATTGTTCCTTTAAAGTCCTAGCCTAAAACTGTCTCTTGTTTTAACGGATCGTACTTTATCCCACTGAGTGGCAAAGAATTGCTCGTTATAGTCTTAATAAGCTAATTTATTTTTAAGTTTCTAAGACGTTGTAAAATAATTTTAATTGGTATATTAATCTAAAAAATGAGTTTGTCTCAGATACTCCTTTTATATCAACCATTTTAAAAAGTGCTTGAATTGCTTTTGTGCAGTTAAAGAAATAAATTACAATTGCGGGGAATGCTATATTTGCATATAGTCATTGATTCGGCATTTATTAACCCAATGATACCCACAGGACGTAGGTAGAATGGAGTTCAAAAGCGCATGAGTTATTAATTCTTCTCATACATGGACGGACACCATAACTAAGAGCGCAAAAGGTTCTCAAGACATCACGTCAATCAATCTATATTTTTGACCTCAAACACCAACAATTTGAAGTTAACCTGCTTTCCAAAATAAAGTCTATATTTGATTAATAAATTATCGTTGAAAAACTGGAATCTGTCTCTCCCACCCCCCTCTGAGTTCAAGTCAGTTGTGACCTATCAATTTTTAATGAATAGATATGTCATAAAATTTTGCTAATAAAACTATAGGAAACTTTGGGAGCATAATAGCCAACAGTCTGTCTCTGTGGTGTCTACGTCTTTCGGAGTATCCAAAATAAAAAGCAGAGGATCTTTTGATGCGATATTTTCACTTCACAAAGTTGGTGCATTCACGATATACTGATTTTCATGCTCTCATTTCACTCATTTAAGCCAGCTTTTTGCAGAACCCCATTGGTTTAAGCATGACAAGGCTTTCCTATAATGTGATGTGTGTCAAACAGTTTTGACCTTTTGGTTATTAACTCCTTCAACACAAACCGAGGCATTATAGTCTATAGTAATTAAGGCGGAACACGATTGGTGTTAATACCACCTATTATAATGGCAGATCATCTACGAATGTTAACAGTTCATGTCCACAAGTGTTGTCTTTCATTCTTCCTAATTCCTTCACAGACAATCAGCAACGTTCTAGTCAAATTCTTGTATAGACAGCTCCATATATTTTTCATTTATTTACTTCGATTAAACTTTGGAATCCATGGAGAAATGTGGAAGGCACATACTCTTGAATAACTCTCATGAGTGACTCCCAATCAATTTTCCTTTTTCATCGTATTAGCCATTGTGGTAGGAAGTGAACTGATGAGAATCAATATCGCTATTGATTGCTTTAATATTTTGATACCTCACACATTTAGCGGAATCCCACTTGGCCACTGTTTATAATACTGAAGGGAATTTTAACCCATGAAGATTATTTGAATTAGCGGCTTTTGATTGCAGCATAAAGCTTTAAATTACCTTCGATGTGAAGATAACCTAAAAGGCCTTTGCTGAGATTAACATTTGCCCATTACGTCTAACCCAGAAAAATGTAGTTAATTTACAAGAAATAGCAACTCAGTGAATTGTATTGACAATGAAGAAAATGTAACCTTAACTAATTTAAAAATTCGATTCAATTCTGACTTGCTTTTGAAGTGGTTTGCACAGGCGGGATAACGTGAATACCAACATATGTCTTTCGCTCTGTTTCTCAAGGCTTGAAATTGTTTACAACTATAAAGAAGAAAAGAATGCAATAAAACTGTAAGAAGATCTTAAACGTCAAATTTCACTCCAAGTAAGTGTACTCAGAAGACTTGACTTGATGTGATCACCCAATAAAATGAGATGCTATTATTGGGTGTAGTCTAATCTTAGGGTCTGTACTACTTAAGTCTGGGTTGAAATGATGTTAAAGACAGCGTTTTTTCTATTTCTTTCATAACTTGACTAACTATTCACTAAGCTCCCATCAGTACGATTATTTAAATGTCTTCAAATGTCGTCGACATTGGAACTAATGAAATGGGATCCGTATTACACGTTAGTGGAGAACCTCAAAATGACTCTTAAGCTCTGGGATCATGGAAACTGAATTAGAATAGGATGCAACTTATCAAATCATTTATATTCACTTAGTTGATCAATGATTCAAAGCAAGTACCTTGTGTTGAGTGTTTTCGTAATGTGATGTAGATACCTGTTGGCGTTAATCAAATGGAGAGTCTACTGGGATTTAACAAAACAAAAATATAATCTCTTGCAAAGAAAAATTGAAGTAAGTTAAGAAAAACTAAAGAAACCCCTATGTATAAAGGGGATAGAAAAGATGAAAAATTATTGCTAACATTAACAGCTTTATAGCTACAGGTTTCAATCATGTATTTCTTTTTATGAGAGAAAACAAATAAACTATGCCTGATAATTTGTTTCCCATAGGTTGACTGAGCTAATTTTAATAGTAAGCAACTAGTTAACATAGACCACCAAATATTAATTTATTCAAATTGACGGTGAGCTTTTTATTTCATTAAGAAATCAATGTAGTAAATGCTACCATCTCGGCTTAGGGGTGTTTGGAGACACAATGTAGTGACATATGCCAGGAAGTAAAATGTCAACAACTTGGACTAAGTTCATAACCTATTAGTGAAACTAGGTTCTGGGAAAGAAAACCCAAACGCTCTGTCCTCATTAACTTAAACGTTAACTAAAATACTTCACGGCTCTCCGCGCCCTAATGCTCCCACATGATTATGCACGTAGTGGTTTTTATTACTCAAAAGTTCCAAATTCTTAAATGGTTTAATAGTGGTTTAAAATGACAGAAGAACCTAAGTTATTTAAAAAAGCGTTTTCCGTTTGAGGGAATTAAGCAAATTTGAAAAGTTTAACTGGGATAAAATCTGCGGAAATGAAGCATAAGCACTCTATTTACTGGGAGTGGCTACTGTGAAGAAGAAAAATCGGCCATAAGAACGATGTTATTTGCAGTTTAATTCAACTTTGAAGGTCAAAGTATAATTTGTTCAAAGTGGAAAAAACAACTCGATTTAATGTAGGCATTCTTTCAAGCTATTCAATCTACTTTTTTCAAGGTCATTCCTTGAGTAAGTTCTCTTTTCACACAATGTAACGGAAAGAAATTGCTGTATATTTCAAAAAACAAAATAATACTCTACAGTTGACACTATCTGCAAAACAATCTTAGATCCCAGTTCCCAGAATATCAAAATTTAAAGTGTGAAACTAAAAAATTTAAATTAAACCGGCAAGATATGCATTTACTCTGTACAGAATACTCTGAGCCAATAAAAATATAAAAAGTTAAGTATCAGTTGGAACATCAGTTTGCTAGAAAATAGCACTTAAAACATGTTGAAATTTTGGTGGTATGGGGGAGTGGGCAGGAATTAGGCATCATTTGCAGCATCAAAAATAATTACGGGTCGATTATTCATCATCTCCAATTTGGAATTTAGGCGTGGTAACCCGAGTGGAGTTATTTGGATAATCTCTTGGAGGTATGGCGGAGTTGCTCGCACTGGACGACGGTGTAGCAATACGATCTGGTTGGGTGTTGACGCGATTTAAAGCCGTGTTTGCGGCAGTTTGAGCATCTATATATTGTTCTGGGTCATATTCATCCTTTTCACTGTGCATTTTCGACTTTGAGAACTTCCTTCTATGTCTGAGGAATCTGGATGCTTTAGCTTTCGACTTAAGCACACTGATGTATTGCCTCTCAAATTCTTCTTTCCTAGAAGCATCAAATGCGCTACTTCTACGTCGCCAATTGGGATCTACGTACTGCTTTTCGTCGTCAAGCCGAGAGGTATCTGCAAATTTGACCTTACCATCGTGAAGTGTGTCAAGAGAATCAGACGACTGGACATTGGCACTTGTGAAATAGTCGAGCAATCTTGGGTCTGACATGTTTACAGCAAGAGACGGAAGATGGATAATAGAATCACCACTTTCCTGGAAATGCTTCTGCCGAATAATCTCCGGAAGGCCTTCCAAATATGCAGAAGATTTACTAGGTTTAATGGTCGCATAATGAAGCTTAAGAGCAATACTTTCATAGGTTCTGACTATTTTTTCATCGTGTGTCTCAGGATCTCTTTGAAGGATGTGCCGGATGTATTTGTCATCAAGGCGTGTGAAGAAGACCCGAGCTCTATTGCGACCATTTGACCCAATAATTGCTTCCATGCCAGCTAGAACATGATCCAGAATATTTCCATTCAGGTCACCGAAGATGGAGAGTTCTTCTTTACCAGCCAGCTTTATTTTTAATAGCTTGACCAGTGGTTTCATAGTCAGACCCATGAATCCGACAGTAAAGAGAATAATGAATAGAGTCGCTGTTACAATTACTTTTCTTACTTGGGTACCATTGAGACCCAAATTATCGTATTCCACTAGCAGAGCAAGGGACAAAGCTACAGCTCCTCTCAAACCGCCATATACAAGAATTATCTGTTGTTTAAAAGTTATTTTGAGGTTGTTCAAATTAATCACGTTGATTAAATAAGTAAGAGCAAATGTGACAATTATTCGCGCAACAAGACAAACGACAATACCCCAAAGGCAAAATCCTGTGTCCCATTCAATTTCAGCAGAAAACAATTGAACACCAATAAGAAAAAAGATAAAAGCCTCACTGACCTCTGCTATTTCCTTTATTACCAGGTGAATAGACGTAAGTGAACTGGATGAGATATTGTGGAAAGTGTAGTCAGCTTGAACTAAGCCACATCCAATCATTGAAATGATTCCAGACCATCCAAGACATTCACCAAAAATGTACGAAAAATAGGCCAGCATTATTGTGAGAAAGCAGCCAAAATGTCCAGTCCATCGTGTAAAGAGGCTGCTAATGACACCAATAAGTACACCGATGATCAAACCACCGAGGGAAATAGTAAAAAATGACCCTATACCAAGAGCAATTTGGACGCCTTCAATATGGGTAAGCCCGACGAATTCACTCATGATACGATAAAGGACGACAGTAACGGCATCATTAAGAAGAGATTCACCGAACACCATGTAGTAGAGACCAGGTTCGACACCGATATCTTGAAAGACAGCCAGAACAGCGACAGGATCAACAGCAACAATAAGTGATGCAAAAAGTAGGTATGAATTGAAGGAGACTTCTAGAGCCCCGCTCCCCATTGCACCTGCCATGTACAAACCGTACATTAGCGGACCGATAACCAAGAAATTCAAGATGGTACCAACAACAGCATAGATTAGAATGCTGCCGAGGTAATCCAGAAACGTTCGATTATACAAACTGTACGCAGAATCCAGAACAATAGGTGGTAGTAAGAAATGGAAGAACATATTCGGACTCAGTTTCCAAAATGTTTTATCAAGATGTGTTTCAGTAATTGCATTTAGGATGGCTCCGAAAATAACGCCGATAACGATGAGTAATAATGATTGTGGAATATACTGAGGAACGTAAGGAATTTTCGGATAGTACATTTTAAATAAAATGATAAAGAGGATGGTTAAAATGACACAAAAATATTGTTGAAATTCGTTCAAGTGCCACGCTGCCAACTTAACACCACCTTCGGCTGGATTCTCAGCGGTGTCATTTTCATTCAATGCACTACATGTACAAAAAAGAGATCCGATGAAAAGTAGGATAGTAGCTGTACGATAGAAGCTCATATTTTCGGTTAACTGAATTCTACATATGCGGAGCTATATTTTCACCTGATATACGTATATGGCAATTTATAGTGAACATTTCACTCCCTCGCATCATTTTTCTTGTGGTTTCATCAGCAGAGCTTGTTGTTGGTTCTCCTAGGGTTATCTGCAATTGGAGAGAAGATAATCAGTTATGGCTTCATCATTGGTGGAGATTTGACTTGGCGCGTGGTAACACTGACGCACCTACCTAGTGAAATAACGCACCATGAGAGATATACGCTATTAAAAGTGATATTGATTTAATGTTGGGTCATATAATGCTTTACACCCTTTATAACTAAAAGCTTACACAAAGTAGTGCTTGATAAAATTCCAGGAATGAATCCTTAAACAAGACTAAATTAACTTAGTTTGTGACATTAGGGGGGCATTTTAAATTTCCATTTCCTAAAACTGGGAGTAGAAAAGCGAAAAATGGAACTTTTTGCCTTGTTTAAATATTTAGATATTACTCTACTACACTGCGAGTGACGTGAATTGTAACGATTAGAGTTGTTATAAGTTCTGAATATTCTCGACAAGACTCATTCATAGCCAAGGGAATTAACGGTAGAATATTCGGCATTAGGACATCATATGCTGCACTCTTATGCATTTAAGAAAATGGACATCTCAGTTCCTTAGAATTTGAATGTAGACAACCTTTCAGTGTTTTAAAACTCACTTTATGTTCTCATCAATTAAATTCCTTCCGGAATTTTGGTCTATCATGAGTAGTGGGACTATTTAAACTATTTAAATTTTTTGACGGCTAATTATTACTGGCGATATTAATTTTGATGTTTATAATTGTTTTCGAGTCGTAAATTACTCTTAAATGTTCCTTTTAATTTCATTTAAAGATAATGAATGCACCAATTGGATAAAAAGTTCTGCTTACCACTTCTTTTGAGGAATTTACTTGTGGAACAGGTTAATTTCATTCCCCTTAACTCTAAATTTAAGAGAAATAATAAGTACTTTGTGTGATAATTCTGCAATTGTTAAAAATTGTGTTGAAACCCGAAATCGTGGTATAACATTTGAAGGGATTAATACGGATCTGTATTATAACTCGTTACTTCAGGTTTGCTTTATTTTAAACCGAGAAATATTGCAAAATTTAAAATTCCAACATCGCCGATAATGATGCTATCTGTGGAAAGCCAAAATATCCCCATGTTTTGCTTACTGAAAAGCTAATGAACAATTAATCAAGTTAAATAAAGTGGGAAAGGGTGAAGAGGACGCCAACTTGAAGTTGATAAAGAAGTCTGGACACTGGAAGCATTGAATTATCCCATTCTCTATCTCTAATATATTCAAATTGCCTACCTAGATCAAAGATGCATTGATGATATAAAGTGCTTGTTGTCTGGTGAGTGGTAATGGAATGACATTTTCACAGCAATGAGAGGAACGATACGACAAACAAAAGTTTTTAATTTGACCATTTCTCGCACTTATCATATCTTAAATGTGCTTATTATCGTATCAAAGGTGATCAAACAATACCTCTTGGACCGTTTTCCCAATTATATTTACTTAAAGGTCATTTTAGCCTTAGTTATTGATGGCTTATTTTTGTAACTATGTGGAAGTGTCTGAGATTATTATGGAAAATAAATCATAAACCTAATTGAATTTTGTAATCACATATTTTAAAAATTAGCTCTAATTCAGTCGGTTGAATGTATTAAATTTTCATTGTTCCAGACTATTCCGTTTATGCACATTGACACTTTCAGTTAATTTATAAATATAATGTTGCCTTTCATACCATTTAAAGCAAATACCCTTGCCAACAAATAGAGACAATTAGATTAACCTCTCACTTCAAGAAAGATAAAACCACAAAATTTTGCAAATCCTAATAATAACTCTAATTTTATGAATAATTATATTGATTTCTCACTTCATTGATAAACTGAAGCATGAAATATAAAAGATGGTACTGGCGTCACCGTGTCCTTTGTTTGATCCTGATAAATTCGATGGAAGATTTTCCCTTTATCGGACAATTTGGAAATTGATTAAAATGCGTTCTTCAGAAAATGAAAATATACGTACATTGTTTATCGATTATTGGTTTCCTGCATTTACGCCTGGACGTGCAAAACCGGCAAATGCCATTATTGCCAAAACAGGCAGCCTATAATTTATAGACTATTTCAAGGTCGTCTGAGCTACAAGACTTATCTTTCCATTTCTCAGAGTCTAAGTAGATGCAGCTTGAGCTGCTGAAATGTCAAAATAAGCAGGCACTACTTTCTAACCCAATACAAACTTACAACTGGCCTTTCGGTTTTAATACTTATATCTCTTAAATAAATTTTTTCTCCTTCCACAGAAAACGGATCTATTGAAAATGATTTTTATTTGAATAAGAATAATTTATTAGTTTTTATCCGTTCTGATACAATGTTCTAGGATGTCTATTGCAAATTAAAAAAGAATAATTTCAAATTTTTTTTAAAAAAGAGTATAATTCATAAGCATTTTCAAAGTAAGCATTCATTAGACCCATGCATGTGGGAAATTTTATTTCAGTCATAGGTTAAGAAAAAGACTGCCGAAATTGCGGCTTGCTTTGTTTGTCTTCTACTGGGTCTTTAACTCGGTTTCAATTAATTTTTCAATTAGTCACAGGTTCTATTTAAGAATCATAATTTTCATCTTCCTTGCTTATTTTTATCCAAGTATCAGCGACTAGTAAACCATTTTTCTTAGGTCGGAATTTATTTAAAAATTTTGAGGAGAAGGTGCAGCACTATTGTTGCAGCGGATTGCTACAACAGACTCAGAAATCTCTATGGCAGATTCCCCAGCATCTAGCTAGGCTCCCAGAACTAGCTAAGCTATAACCCAGCTATAAAGGAAACAGACGTGTAGTCGTGGATAAGGTGCACACGCAGGGAGCTACTCATAATCAGGATGGGGGATTAGGTTAAACAAATGGAAGCTACTGATTGGCCACTGTTTGTACGATCGCTGTGCACAGAGTTGTACGGCCGCAACTCCCAATCCTGGCATGCAGGCATACGATGACGCACAAAGCGATAACGTGCCCCACACGTTAAACAGATTTTAAGTTTTACGACTATAGGAGTTTATCCTTAAGAAATTTGTGTCAGTTCCAATACTTAAAATCCGTTCTTTATTTTCATCTAACTGTCAATGATTGTAAGGCGGCACAGATTAATTAAAATGATATTACAAACAAGGGGTGCGCAATAGACTTACCTCCACGTGGTGCATCCTGGGCAACGTATACCGATACGGCAAAGTCTATTAACTGGTAGTTGACTTCTCCCGATACGGCAAAAAAGTCTATTATTCGGCAGTTGGCTGCTGACTTCAAACTACCATGACCCCACTGTATGTTAATTTCGATCACTTCAACAGTACTCATCTTACCTTTTCTCTGCCTATGTGACTATCTTTCACTTTTCATCTGTGAATCACTCTTTTTTCCCTCCCCCCCCTGTGAAGTCCGAAGTCAGCTAAAGGGCTAATGGTGATTATCAATATGCCTGCCACTTGAAATAAATAAATATTACAAACAATTCATTACGATTGGTTCTAAAACCCCTAAACGTTCACTTGCTCAAGGAATCTCGGTTCAAATCAAGAAATCGAGTTTTGAAATATGTGAATATAACAAAATGTATTTGGATGAAAGGATATTCTGAGGTTCTTAGAATCGAATTAAGAAACTTGAGTGAAAGCCATCTTTCAAGGTTATCATGATACAAAGCACGTTTTTCTATGCTCAAAATGATGGTGATCTAAACTCAAGAAGAGTCTATGGATCGAATTTTAATTACTGTGGTATTTATGGCGTCCATTGTTTTTGGTTGAGTGCCAAAGAGAATAAAGTGGGGAAATTTGTTACGCTCCCATGAAGGTTGTTAAATTTAAGATGTCTTTCAGTTTAAAGGAAAATTCCGAAGAACTGTCGGTCAAGGAGATTAATTATGAACATTCTTTCTCAATAAATAGGGAATGACCTCTCTAATATACTGTCCATAATAAAACTAGCTCTGGCAGAGAGCTCCTTTGTCTGAAACACTGCTCTACTGATTCATATATGTCATTGACCTGATTAATCTTACTGGATATCATTTTAAGAATTTCGCAAATATAGGTCAGATCATCCTAGTAACGATACGATTGGAGCTGCCTCATCAAAATTTTAACGGAAAACAATTTTGACGTAAGTGACTTCAAGTAACTTCCCTGGTTTTGAACTCCATCGCCCTTATTCGCATTTTAAAAGAAAATAAAATATCTAGTCGTATTTGAATGCTTTGACAGGAACCACTCCTGTAATGATGCCTTCGCCTTGTCATGAATAATAAATTAATAGGGATAGAATTTGGTAAGTTCATTAAATATAAGGTAAAGGATGCATATTGTATTAATTCATTAGCTCGCTTAGAATACATAGAACAATAGAAAAATAATGTGTAATATTCATGACATTTGACGACCTGGAACCAAGGTGTAATTTCAAGGCAATGTTTGAATTTAACGTCAAACGGCGTGTCATTTATGTTAAAAGTGGCGTTTTTTCTGCTGACTGGTAGACCTTCAGTTTGAGAGATATTCGAGCGTTCCTACCAACAAATAAAGTTCATTCTCACCACATCACATAACACATTTAAACAATTACTATATATAACTTATGAGCATTTGCTTGTCAAAACTAGATTCCAAATGTTCACTTTTGGCGAAATCAAAACATTATTGATCCCCTTGGACCCAATTATCCACGGCGCTGTGAAGCAATCCAATTGGCTAACTATTGGGTGGGCAACTAAGTCATTGCCGTTTTTGCTGACAGATTCACTCTATACTTTCTTTTGTTTTGTTAACGTGGCCAGAGCATCTAACCTATATTTTTTCTTACTGTATGG